GACCGTATGTTACAGATACGAAAGGCCAGACAAACAAATATTCACTGTCGGGGTAGGACGAATGTCCCCGGGATGTTCATTCTACAAGTGGACATAATGAATGATAATTATATTCTCGCCTTTAATACCGTGAAAATAGAGACTCTGTCCCTGTGTCGCATCAAGTTGATTGTTCGCACCTACATGGGTATATGCTATCACCCTCATTATCTCTTAATATGCTTTCGTATACTAGTATTAGTTCAATAGGTCTTTTGCCAAATAAGACACGCAGTGACTTGGTGGGGCATGGCATGCGTACTGAATGCGTGACCCAGGCACGCCATAAATGCAGTGCATTCCTCCCAGCGCGAGCTCTTGTTCCTGAACCGCAACGATCAATCACCGCGTTTGGCGTGTACTCACCCAGGCGGCCAGAAAAAACGAGACTCTCCTGGATCGGAAAAAAAACTGACAGCGAAGGATTCTGTTTTCTTCTCGCTTCTTCATTGCTGTCCGATATGTAGAAAGGTTGTTTTGCATTCACTTCTTGCTGGACCTTTGTGATATGTTTGATACATGGCTGATGAAGCGGTCGATGAGCCGAGCACTTCATCTCTTGTGGCGGTACGTTGCGATGAAGGGAATGTTGATAGTAGTCCTGCGAGGGAGAATCAAGTTGAATTAGCGATCAAATTCGGTTTTTGATGCCTTTGGACAACGAGTCCTTTGAAATATGGAGAATCAACCAGTTGAAGACTTACCTGCGAGCTAGAGGAGCCGGAGTGTCCAGGAAGCGGGGTGATTTGCTCGATCGGTAAGTACCACTTCAGGTTGCAGTCTTCAACATTTCGCACAAGAAAAAGTACATTTTTATCGATACATGTTTTACATTCTAACTTTCTCTATCTGTTCAGGGCCTGGTTCTATCACATCGATCCAATACTGTGCACTCCAGATATATTTGGCGGCAGGCATCGTCAAGGAAAGCGGAAAACCGCTGCCATTCAGAGCATTGTTGACGCTGAGCTCGTGGAAGCCCATAGCGACGCAATGAGCATAATCGCCCCTCTAGCAGCTACATTTCGTCCTAGTTTTCCTGAAACTGGGTCCAGCCCTGCTCCACCAAAGGACCTATCGTATGGTTGCAAAGATACTTTTATATTCGCCCTTGTAAGTCTGTTGTGACCATGGAAATTGATAAATCGCCATCACTATTATTCATCAAGAGTGGTATTATTGTTCATTGCACTTTTGCAAATATTGCAATCTAAATTATGTCATACTATCCACACTTATACCCACTAAGTCATTAGCTGCTCCGTATTGTGCATGATTGTTCAGGCATGACAAAATTCGTGTTGCTGAAGATCAATTCGCCATGCAATGCTAGCAACAGTTGGCATGGAAAACATATTTGCTTCAACAATCCATATCTGAATGATGATAGGGAAAAGAATTGTTGGAACGATCTTTGAAAAGATAGAGAACTCCCTGATTCGCTCCATCAGACACTCAACATGAATTCGTAACGTGGCAATTTGTTGCGTTTTCTGGACATCTTCTAAGGCCATCTGTTGCTTGATCGCTTGAACAAGGGAATGTTCAACTTTACGCCATGTGGCATCAAGAGATCCCGGATGTCAAATCCTTGGTCTGCCATAATCTAAGTCCTATAGCTGGCTACTGGCAGAAGATCTAAGTAGTGGCTTCTGATTGTGACCTCGTGGTCACTGGGGGTGGATCCCGTAAATGACTTGGAGGTAAGCGCTGCACCACCATCTCGGGTCAGCAGTTCGCCGACACCGAAGGCGAACGTTGGTATGTGTTCCAATGTGAAATTGAAAGAATGCTATGTGTTTGGTGGAGTTGGGGAGCGTCCCTCGCAAACTAAGGGCGTAAAACCCCAGCATCATACCTGGAAACAATAGCCGGCGCATATGTAAACAACGCAGTACATGTGCTGAACACAAGAGATTATGCTAGTACTGGAAACTGTACATGGTCAGGGATCATGTGTACTGGAAACTCTCCAGACCCAAGATTTGGTTCTGCGTTCACCAATCGCGACAACTTCGCATACGTCTTTGGCGGAGCTTGCAATTCGACTGAGGAATTAAAAATGATCTTCATCGATTAAATTTGCGGTCAGCGGAGTGGAGTGGTGCTCTGCCGGTGACTGGAGAGCTGCCTTCAGAGCGATGCCATGCTTCTTTGGCCCCGAGCTTGACGTCCTTACTCGTTCTCTGTGGTGATAGTGGAACGAACCGGAGTTGCCGCAATGACATTTTCATCTTTCATACTGACTTACTATGCTGGTATGGCGTGAACACCTCACACATCCAGCCACCTTTGGAGGCACGGTGGGAATATTTCTCATGCCAGGATCTCATGGGTGACGTGCATATTGTAGGAGGTTACAACTCGATCCACAATCAAAATCTAGCAACGACAATCGTCAGAGTACGTACGGAACCGCCGTCCTTACAGAATCTTGCTTTGCAGGTGTATGCCGGCATCGCGACTTCAGAGGACGTGGAGAGCTTGGGAGTCCTGTTTCGCAGCGTTGTGCGTAAGATTCGAACGCATCCATGCACTAGCTGCAGTCCCCAACACGCGTGGAAGTAGACATTGTATTGAATTAAGTATACATTTTGCCTATTCCACTGCTGGGAACGCTGCTTGGGGCTCGTGGGCCTAGCGTTCTGAACAAATCTTGCTTTTCTTTCACTCACTAAGCCACTCACTAACTCCACTCCAACGCACTTGCTAACCTAGCTCTCTACTAGCTCTCTATCTCTTTCCCCCCCTCTTTCTACTATTCTAGAACCCACACACAATCTCTCTTCTCTCCCCAGGGTGCGCTTTGGATGCCTTGGTGACGAGACTACTCGTCGAGGGAGCATACTTCGCATCACCTGCACGGCATTTATAGCACCTCCACGCCCTTTGTAGTCGATTATGTTCGTTGTTTTTGGTTGTTGTTGTTCTCCTACGTTCTATATACATGTACATGTAGGTATGTACAGTTTCACATGAAATAATTTTGCTTTGGGTTTGAAAACATTGAGGTTTGGAATGACCTGATTGATTGATCGGCCAAGCATTAATATAATATTTATTAATACACGCGCCTGTACTCCGCATTACAATATGCTTGCAAGACTTTGCTCGCACCAGCACACCAAGTCGAGAACCTAGTTGTGGGGGTTTGCCATTATTTATTTTTTCCTCACACTTGTCACTCTTTGAAATACGCATTGCAATATGCTTGCAAGAAATTGCTCGCACCAGCACACCAAGTCGAGAACCTAGTAGTGGAGGTTTGCCATTATCTATTTTTTCCTCACACTTGTCACTCTTTGAAATAAGTATCACCAATGATACCAAATTGTCTTGTCAAGCAAAGAGCCATTGGGCACAACAAGCCAATGCATGGCTCGGTATTCTTATCGCCTTGTTAATCTACAGCAATTTGTAACAAGCACATTTGACAAACATGTCACCCGCCAACAGCAAACGGTTGCGCGTTACAGGATTGGCCTGGCAACTTCAAACAGGCACACACGACAAACGTGGTGCCCGCTTGACAACTTCAAAGGGGATGCACCAATACAAACTCGGCCTAGGCAAAAGCAATCGGGAACGCTGGTACGCACATGGTGCAACGGCAAACTCAACGGGAATGCACCAATAGAAACACGGCCCCGGCAACAGCAAACCGGAACGCCGTTACAAACATCTGCTCGCAAGGAAAAGCACTTCTTGTCCGCAGGAAAAGCCAAACTGCATTCAACCATCTTTTTAGCACGTATATAGGCAACAGTAGCAGCAGCAGCGTAAAAATGCAAATCAAAGACCGTACTCTGTGCAGAATAATAGTACATCTTATGCATCATGAGATCATCACTGCGCATGTGCCCGGATGGGCTAACTTTGATACTCAAAGCGGCATTTAAACTGCATTGTCATGTTATTAACTAGTCTCGCCATCGTCCTGTAACAGTCGGCATTCTTGGTTGCCGTGAAACTTAGTTTGTGCACATTTTCGCTGCGCTTACCGTCCCCTCTTCGGTCCTACCCATCCATGAACCTTCCACATTATAAGGCTGTTTACGCACTGGAGAGGCGTTAGAGCTAGGTCTCAGGTCGTTGAATATCTCAGTAGTCTGTCAGTTTTGTGCCCTGTTATTATGCTATCTTGTAGCACTTTCTGACTGCTTATTATCTTGTTACAGATGTGTATATTTGGTTCAAAACTCGTTTCCTTGCGACACACAATTACCGAATTTTCGCATAAGTCGCGCTAACCTAACTTCACATAGTTGTCGCCAGGGCGGGCTATGCGACTGAATGGTTTTTGAATTCTGTATTCTCACGATGGCACCATCGCCAATAAGAGGTGCGTTTATGAGAAGGTGAGATGCTGTGGGTGGGGCTGTGGATCATGCAGTTGGTTTGGAAGCAACATTGTTGTGAATGGCTGATGGCATTCAGTGCTTGTTCTGCACCTCCATAGGTGACAATGACTCACGCTGCGGTCTAAAGTTCTCGCGGTGTTTGTCGTTTACCGCGCTAACATCCAGAGTAAATGATAATAAAGGGTGATAGCACAGGCCTTGGAGGAAGTGCCAATATATCTCTGTATTTTGATTAGCAAGATAATTGTAAATACACACAACATTGGTGTTTGTCATCACCATCATTATCTCTTACTTTGCTTTCCTATAATAGTTCAATTGTGTTGTAATGTCCTTTAGTGCAGCGTAGCTACAAAGTATCAGTGAAGATCTAGTCAGTGTGAAGTGAAACATATAAGCTGTTCGCTACTCAGTCTCACTGCTGCTCATTCTATTAAGCCAGCCATGTCTGTTCGTGTGTGGAGGAACCCTGGCCAATTGGACCTGGAAGCGGAACATCTAAGGATCTGTATGTGCAAAAGTTCCACAGTCGACACGACCATCTACACTTTGGCTCATCGCCCTTGGCTTAGTCCGGGGGGAAGTCTTCAGTGCATACGGATGCCACCGTTAAAGCCTCGTTGTCCACATGATCCAGACCCGGAAAATGACTTCAAATCAGTGCAAATCGAATACCAGCCAGCATCGCTCTTAACCAATCCTAACCCGCTTCACGTATGCGGTGGTGGAGCTGCTGCCGTCGGTTCTGATATTTTCTACTTCGGAGGATTTCTCGGAACACATGGAAACAGAAACTTCCAAAATACCGTCGCCCATCTGAATCCGAGTACGCGGACCGTTTCCCAGGTGAACATTGTCGGCAGCTCGCCGACACGGAAGGCGTTCTTTGGTATGTGTTCCTATGAGAAACTAAATGAATGCTATGTGTTCGGTGGACTTGGGGAGCGTCCTTCGGAAACTGATCGCGTTCAAACCCCAGCATCATACCTGGAAATAACTCGCGGGAGATATGTAAACAACGCAGTACATGTGCTGGTCACAGGAGATTATGCTAGTACTGGAAGCTGTACGTGGAGAGAGATGCTGTACACTGGTGACGCACCAGACCCTAGATATAGCTCTGCGTTCATCAATCGCGACAACTTTGCATACGTCTTTGGCGGAGTTTGCAATTCCTCAGTGGAATTTGGAAATGATCTTCATCGATTAAATTTGCGGTCAGCGGAGTGGAGTGGCGCTCTGCCGGTGACTGGAGAGCTGCCTTCAGCGCGATGCCGTGCTTCTTTGGCCCTGAGCTCGACGTCCTTACTGGTTCTCTGTGGTGGTGTGGGGCAAAATGGAACGAATCTGAGTTCGCACAATGACATTTTCATCTTTCACACTGAATTACTATGCTGGTATGGCGTGAACACGTCACACATCCAGCCACCATTGGAGGCACGGTTTGCACATTACTCATGCCAGGATCTCATTGGTGACGTGTATATTGTAGGTGGTCGCATGTCGCCGAACAATAACAATCAAGCAACGACGATCGTCAGAGTGCGTACGGAACCGCTGTCCTTACAGAATCTTGCTTTGCAGGTGTATGGCGGCATAGCGACTTCAGAAGACGTTGAAAGCTTGGGACACCTGATTCAGCGGCTTGCCCGTAAGATTCGAATGGAGCCATGCAGTAGCTGCAGTCCCCCTCACGCCTGGATGTAGTCATGGTATTGAGTGAGGTAGACATTTTGCCCATTCCACTGCTAGGAACACTGCTGGTTGTTCGTCGGCCTAACCTTCTGAACAAATCTGGCTTTTCTTTCACTCACTCACCCAATCACCCACTAGTCTCTAACGCACTTTCGAACGGAATCTCTCTGTCTCTTTTCCTTATTCTTTCAGTCTCTCTAGGTCCCGCATACAATCTTTCTTCTCTCCCCATGGTGCGCGTTTGGCGCCTTTGCTCAAGAGATCACTCGTGGAGGGAGCGTACTTCGCCTCACCTCCACGGCTTTTTATATCACCTACACGCCCTTGGTAGTCGATTATGTTCGTTGTTTTGGTTTTTGTTGTACTCTTACGTTCTATATACATGTAGGTATGTACACTTTCACAGGAAATAACTTTGCTCTGGGTTTTGAAAACGTTTACCTGATGATGTTTGCTTCGATGGTCGTGTATGTAATAATAATTATAATATTATGCACGTATCAGTACTTCGTTCAAAATCTCTGCCGTTTAGCTGCTCGTCCTCGTGAAGCGGGACTTTGCACTTATGGTGTGTGCCAAGTAGCGGTGTGTGGATAATGTTCGAAAAGGGGGCAGATTCTGAACGAAAAGCAGTGAAATTGGAAGAACGATACAAACCTTATGGCGGGCAATTCCTCGAATTCTGCTCCATTTCTTTATCCACATGCCAAACATGAATGAAACTTACCAGAAAAAGTACCGAATTCTTTCAAATTTTTCTGCCGGCATTATCCGCATATGGCTAGTGCCAAGAGATGCTGTTGCTATCGTACATGTCTGTCCTCTCTGTCCTCTCCAACAGTGTGACGGCGAGTGCTGCAGCACATCTATTACGCGACAGCTTTCTGTTTTAGGCTAGAGCCTATCAGTGCAATGTGCGCGTGCAGGTCGTCTACATGTAAATGCATTATTATTATTATTGCAAATAACACTGAGTAATTACACGAATGTATAAAAACCAGCATTTGCTTCCGGGAAGGATTCACAAAATAAGATGAAAACACCATGGCTCAATGTAACTGCACACACGGAAAGCTGCTTCTATTGTCAAGTTCGAGTGGCAATGTTAGAAAGACGGTAGACTGTTCGTGATGTTCACCCTGCAGGGGATAAGTCAAGGATACATTAATAGAATAACACAATACTAGTACAATACTAGTATTAGATAAACCTTGTTATAGTTCACACATGTTGTTAGTTTGACAGCAAGAAACAAGATGGAGGACGGACCGGGGGCTCTGCCAACCGAGGATCATGGTTGTAGTAAGGTCACTGATTTGGAACACAGTGTCCTGTACCTTGCTTGTATCATGCTGTCAAACTAACAACATGAATATAGAAAAACTTGTAGGACACATCACGCAGCTTCATAAATAGAAATTTGGTTTCGAGCAACACTGGCTCACACTCAATCACTGCTTTTCACCAGAAAAATATGTTATTTCAACGTTTCGGTCATGAAATAACCATCATTATTTCATAACCGAAACTTGGAAATAAAGTATTTTCCTGGTGAAAAGCAGTGATTGAGTGTGAGCCAGTGTTGCTCACAACCAATTTTTTTATGTATATACATGTAGTGACATTCTCGTTCTAAGAACAAAATGATGAAAAAAGGAGAAGGACAAAATGTTGCGAGTTGTGACTAACTGTCCGCCTGTGAAGTTCAGTAGGGTGTTGACGTTTCGGTTTGTCGCAATTCGTCTTCGCTTAGCTTCCAAACTCACAGAGACGCTCCATGTCCGGCGCGACAAACATCGTGAACGCCAGATATCAGCGTGAGTCAGCGTTCTTCTGTGCCTGGTGAACGGTTAGATCGCGAGCCCTGTTGAAGCATGCTGATATGGTGGTAATGGTAACCGTGGCAACTACATCGTAGGTGAGCGTATTGATAATTCTACAAGACTGGAGTGCCTCTTCCGTTGTTCATGCTTGCCAGTCCTGAGGCCACGTTTATATTCTCAGGCTTTTCTTTCACTCGCTCACCCACTCACTCACTCCCATCTAACGCACTTGCTAATATTATAATCTCTCTATCTCTTTCCCGCGTGCTTTCTGTCTCTCTAGGTCTCACACAAAATCTCTCTCGTCTTCCCATGGTGCGCGTTTATTTTTAGTTGTTTATGTTTATTATTTTTATTTTGTTTGGAGTCTTGCTCACGATGTACTCGTCGAGGGAGCGAACTGCACCTCACCTGCACAGCTTTTATAGCAACAACACGCCCTCTGTACTCCTCTATGTTCGTTGTTTTGGTTGTTGTTGTTCTCCTCCGTTCTAGATACATGTAGGTATATGAACTTTCACCCAAAAGAAGTAGGCTCTGGGCTTTGAAAGCATTGACGTGTACCTGAAGAAATTTTCTTCGATGGTCGTGTATATAATGATTACAATATGAACGTATCAATACTTCGTTCAGAATCTCTGCGGTTTAGAAGCCGGTCAACTTTGTGAAGCAAGACTTTATTGCAATGGCGTGAATCATGGCAAGTGATCCTGTTGTACAGTCGGTTAAAACCGTTATACAGGTCATACCCTGGTTTAAAATAGGTAATCGCTGGGCCTTCAAGGCAAGAGCAAGATTCGATCATTGACACACGTTACTCCCTTGCTCTCTCCCCTCCCCCTCCCCCCCTGCGCCATCGAGAATTCCAGCACATTTCGCTGATTCAGTTATACATTGCTGGAACGTTTGGAGCGATGTCTGATTGCTACGTATAGTTGACGGGATAGCACCCTTGCTAACACGCAGAGCAACCTTGCAGATAGCGTCTGAAAAATCCCTCTGTATCTTTCAGCATCCTTACATGTTTATATTTATTACAACATCTCAAGACTTGGTGGAAACGCCGGCCTATCCTTGCGCCTTGTGTAGGGGCTCGGCTTTCCTCAGACCATTTTCCTAACGAAGAATTGGTGATATTTGCCTGAGATTCTAATCAGTACTGCTGCTAGTGACGTAGGGTAAGCTATCCGATAATGTCCCACTGGTGGACCTTTCGCCAGGAATGCTTCAACATATCACCTGCAACATAGTTACTCTCTAAGGGTACGATGTCTGATTGCTACGGACCGTTGACGGGATAGATCCCTTGCCAGCACACAGCGCAACAGCGAATGAAATATCCCTGTTTATCTTTCAACACATTGGGCACCCTGTAAGAAGGCCATTGGCCTGTTGGGTATACCCAAGTAAAATAACAAGAGAGCTTGGAAGCTCAGGGCCCTACGCTTTGCTTTGTTGCCTAGCTCATTGTGCATGTTGTTAGAATTGTTGTGATTAGCTACATCATTGTATTGCAAAAACGTTTCAATGAGTTACTGAAGTAACGTCTTCTGCATAGCTACGGGACCGGCGCTGACTCTGCCGATCACGGGCGTTCTGGAGTCGACAGGATGTCTGTTCTGACGTTTCCTGGGACCGGCGCTGACTCTGCCGATCACGGGCGTTCTGGAGTCAATGGGTTGTCTGTCCTGACGTTTTCTGGGACCGGCGCTGACTCTGCCGATCACGGGCGTTCTGGAGTCGACGGGATCTCTCTTCCGACGTTTCCTGTGACCGGCGCTAACTCGCCCGTTCACGCTTATTTTGGAGACGACGGGATCTCTCTTCCAAAGTATGTTTTTGCTGACGCATCCTAGCACCTATTCGGCAACTAACGTCCATTCTAATTGCATTTCCTCCTCGTCTCCCTATTTCTTTCCAGAAAATCTCCCTATACACCAGGGAGTCGTATACATAATACGACGAATATTGTGGCCAGCTGTTTGTGGCCAGCTGTGCTTCATGGTTCTGTACGGTACGGGACAGATACGGGAGCCAGCATCGTGCAGCAGGCGTGCCAGCATAGGGATAACAGAGCGCTTGATGGTATTTGCTTCTTTGACTTGGCCAAGGCGTTTGATACCGTCTGGCATTGAGGACTTTTGGCCAAGCTCGAGCATGCATTCAGGGTACGTAAACAACCACTCTCCTGGCTGAAATCGTATCTCTCTGGGCGTTATCAGTACGTAACTGTGCTTGACACATCCTCGGCTGCAGAGCCGGTATTGTCAGGCGTTCCTAAAAAATCAATTCTTGGTAATTTACGTAAACGATTTACCTGCAGTCTTCCCTGGAACGTCTCTGTTTGCTGAAGACACGACCCTTCTCACCTCATCAGCTTCCCTCGCTGGCCTGAAAAACAACTTGCGTGCTGGCATTCAGGAAGTTCTTTCCTGGATGTCGTCCTGGAGATTGTCCCCAAATCTATCAAAAACAAAGATCATGCTCTTCCCGCCCAGGCCAGAGTTTACAACCCCCATCCATGCCAACTTTCCAAATCCAATTGACATAGTGTCTTCTCACAAACACCTTGGCATTGTGACTGACTCTGCACTCTCTTGGGTACCCCACATCGAATATATCTGTAAAGAATCAAGTAAATCCTTAGGAATTTTCTCTCCCCCCCCCCCCTCCCACTGCTCCTACCTCCCACTTTCTTGCAAGCTTCATTTTTATTTAGCCTACCTTCGCCCAATATTTGATTATGCCGATACGTCTTGGGTTGGATTATCTTCTTCCGCTGCTGCAAAGCTTGAAAAACATCACAAGAAAATCCTTTTAAAAATTCTCCTCCGTCAACCCAGCATGCTCTCATCATCCGCCCTTTATATAATCGCTCACACAACCCCGTTATCACATGGACGCAGTGCACACCTGGCTTCTCTTGTCCATTCTATTAAGCTTGAGTTGTGCCCACCTCATCTCATGTGTTTTAATTGGTTCTCTTCTCTAAGAACTAGAAACTCGCTCTTACTCCCTAAGTGTAACTCATCCACTCTTTTGCGCTCCCCTCTCTTTATTGCTTATTCTGTTTGGCTCACTCTACCCAGAGAAGTTAAGGATCTGACCTCACTCCGCCTGTTTAAGATCCGTGCCGCCCCCTTATTTACTACGACATAAATAGCTCATTATCCACATGTCCTTTGCGTC